GCAGTCATCGAGGTGAGTGATGCTTGATCTGTCCATCTCTTACAACTTCAGGAAGTCGATCAAATTAGGGGGTATCAAATATAGGAAATCCACCATCAGAAACCAGTTACTTTTCCAAAAACATTTTTTGGCATAAATGGGCCCCAAAAGGGTTTAAATGGATAACCAACATGTTTAAAAAAATGTGGATTTTTTCAAACCAGTCAATTAAGTAATGGTGGATTTGGTTATATTTGATACCCCCTATTGAAGAGCACTGACTTGTGTACTATCGGACTTGTGAAATCAGAACATGGCAAAAGCATATGTCGTAAATGCTTCAATTTGGGCGGCCAATCCAGTACGGGGTATCCTTCTTACTCTCTGATCAACATCCAGGTTCAGATTTTGAGCATTCTTGCTTCTCCAGCTGCTTTTGAACAGAAAACGTAGAGTGGAGAGAATGAGTTCCAAGCTGAGCAAGTTGCTCTATTGGTCAGTTTTCCCCACTCAAATTCTATCCGATTTATCCTTCTCTATTCCAACCATAATCTGAAGGGTGTCTAATTCTTACTGTGGCCTGGATGCTTCATGACACGAAGCAGGTTTTGGACCGATCTGCATGTTCACGATTCTCCTGCGCTTATAAAAGCTCTGGAGCTTGGACGGGTTGAACTCTATCCAGTTTGGTGTTGGGATCCGTATTACATCTATAATACACCAGTAGGCCCGAACAGATGGCAATTCTTATTGTGAGCACCTTCTTCTCTTTGATTCCCTTGGGTTTTACAAAGCTGACTAGGATAGCTTGTTGGTGGCATCCACCTTCAAAGGGATTTGATGAACGATCTTTCCAAATTGATCTCGCGGATCAATGACAGTTCAAAATTATTTGTCATTAGAGGTGAACCCTCGATCACATTGCCCTATATCTGGCGTCAGTGGGGGATTGCTCATTTAGCGTTTGAATAAGACAATGCGATGATAAGCAACACAGTCAACCCCGGGATCCATCCATCATCAAGGCTGCAAAGGATTCTGATGTTGAAATACTGACATCCCCCGGCCATACTCTATATCCACAAGAAAAAGTCATGGCGGCAGCAAAAGGAAATTTACCTGCAGGTTAGTATGGCTTCTCCAGCGCAATCAAGAAGCTGGGACCAACTTCACGCGCACATGAGGCGCCTGGTTTGCTCCCCAACCTTGGTTCTACAACTTTAGATGATCCTCTGCCTCTGGAGTTTCTGGAGAAATGGAAAAGGGCTTGGACAGACCGACTTGCTACTGAGAAAGATATCAACAGCAACAACTCTCTCAGCACATTTGAAGTTTGGAACACTACCCTCCAGGTTATTTTGTGGATGACTGAAACAATTGGAAAAGGAAACCCCAAAAATCAAAGCATCGAGTTCTCCAATCAAACCCCCACCTACTCAACAAAAAGTAAGGTGTAAGACTGTTTGGATTAAAGGAACGTTCCTTTGAAATATGACAAATGATGAGGTTGAGGCGTTGTTAGAAAGATCTTTCAACCACTTGCAAAGATTTTGGTTTTTCTCTGTGTTTGCATTCGGGTGTTATTTTTAAAAGCTGACCTGACGTGAATCAATCATCAGTTTTTCTCTCAAGTTTCATGCCCACCAACAAGGTCTGATCAACCTCAAAGTGACAATGGAAGAGCGTGTAGCCAAGAAAGCTGAGAAATTAATCCACGGACATCCATTTCCTCAATGTGATTCCTGGCCGCCCTTCCTCAGTTCCCGCTACGTTCAAGGGTACGGAGCCTTCCGGCTCTGGGAAGAATCTTGCAATGATCTTTGGTACCTGCGCTCTTGAATGATCCAATGTCCAACCTCATCATCCATACTAGTCCAATCTCACTCCTCCCACTCTGAGTTATCCGTAGTGTCCATGGTTCCTTCTCAGAATTCCCCAAAAACGTTAGAAGGACAACAAACAGCTAAGCAACTCAAGCAACTCGACCATCAGTAAAAATCTATTGTTCTCCGGCTATTTCACTGATCATGGGTGATGACATTGATTGGCCAAGGTCGGCTCCCCAGAAAGCCAATGCAAATGTTCTTCCTGAAGTGTGTTGTCCCAGACCACACTGCTGAGGGGGTTGATAAGCGCAAGCCAACCCCCCTCGCGCACGCCATACTGCACGCCAGCTGCAGATTGGCGTGCGCGCCTGCACGCCATTGCAGAATGGCGTTGTTTGACTCAAAAGTGGTTTTGAGAACCCTTTTGCTGAATGGAGAAGGGTATGGTGGAGTTGCAAACTCTGCCCTTCTATACTATCAGATAACAAGACCCACCAAGCTTAGCTTGGCAAGTTTTAATCAAGTGATAGGGGTGGTTGGTTCAAGATTTCTTTGTTTGATCACAGTTGAATGATGTAAGAATTGAGTTTCTGAGAGTATGAGAGTGAGTTTAGTGTGTATTACAAGTGTAAGGGTTGTTATTGGGTGTTATAAAGGTTGTTACAGTATGTAATGGTAATGGTATGGTATGTGATGGTAGGGGGTATGTGATTTGTGGGTACTAGACTGAGGGGAAAACAACTGGGAGGAGAGCCTCCTTAAATAGACAACAATGAGTGATTTTGGCTCCAAGGGAGCAAGAGAATGAGAGATTTTAGCTGGTCAGAGCTGTACAAATGAGGTATTTTAGCTGGTTGTACAGCCTACATGATGTAATTTGAGTTATTTTAGCTAGAAGAGGCAGTGTACATGAGGGGTTTGTGCTAGCCTAGCAATCTGCATGATGTCATACAGACTGCATGAGCTCAGCTGCAGGAAGATTATCACATGACCTGACAAGCTGCATATGCTGTACACCTGACCTGCCAGGCTGTGTAAGCTGTCCCTACGGCACCCAGATTATGATGTCATATGGTTACC